GGCTACGAAGCTTGGATACCAGTCCTGGTGTCTTTCATCTCCTTTTTCACGGGGATCATGGAATTTGAGGCCTTGTCGTCTCAACTACGCAATGTCAATCAGTCCTTGGAGTCACTCAAGAACCTTCATTTCTGGTGGCAGAGCCTTTCAATGGTCGAGCGGCGAATGCCCTCCAACAAGAACGAGCTAGTGGCTTGCACAGAGGCGACGGCTGACAGTGAGATCTCCGCATGGAAAAAGACATTGAAAGTCAAGAGTGTGACATCTGGCGGTTCAAATGGGAAAGAAGAGGCTGAGGAGGATTCGGATTGATGTTTCACATGGCATACGCATTTTTCCATTGCGCCCAAGGTGCCACTGCGGTAGCCAGACATGAGACTGATTCAGCTTCACCAAGTAAAGCTGAAAGACACAGATGCCACCGAAAACAGGCCTGCGAACCTATTGTGTCAGGATGTTCAGTGCTACAATGTACTACATGTGCGACCTTGATGTCGCTTCCCTTGCGCATGAACTGGTCTTTCTTGCATGCCTTCCTATGGCTCAGACAAAAAACATGACATGCAGAGAAGGCATGGGACCATAAAGCCATCCAAGTTTTGTTGCACTTGGTTGCGCAATCAAGTTGGGCTTCTTTGTGGCTTCAACTCAGGCCGCATCGCTGCGTGCGTGTGTAAACGGCAAGCCAAGTAGTTTAGTAGTTGATGATGTCTGACATGTAAAACACCTCGCGCTTGTCCTTTGGGAGCCATGCCGCGGTGATGAGCGGGCCTTGAACCTTTGTGCGCGGTGGTCATGGAGGCGCATGGTCGCTTGAAGACTCCCGGAGGGTTAACTCTGAGAAGGGGAGTATGGATGGTGTGAGGTAGATTGCGCTCTGGACAAGTCGGGATGCCTATTGCAACTTTAGGGTCAATTTTGGGCTCAGCGCATTGAAGCGCATTGAAGCGTCTTCGCATGAACTTGAGGTGTCTTGCAGCGGACGGGTTGCTTGATCCGAGTCAAAGGTTTTTGCCAGACAACAGCAAACTCCAACAAGACACTCTTGACAGCCTGACCATTGTATGGTCTGTAGTATCGGGTGATTTTGTTTTATAATGTCTTATATTTTTATACAGGAATTAGTCCAGCTCTAACCCCCCCGAAACAGTTGGTTGAGGGAAGCCAAGAAGCCGTGGCCGCCAGTGCGGACAGGCCATGGGCGTTGGAGAGACGGCAGTTGAATGCCAGGGGCTCAGCCGGGTTTCGTGTTTGTGCTGTTGCTTCGAGGCCATGGGGGATGGGGGGCGTGCTGGTGCTGATAGAAGATCCAATGGTCCTTGAAGCACATTTTGCAGGGTTCTGTCAGACATTTGCGGTTTTCTGCACGCGACCGCGCGAAGCTTGTGTAACACACGGAGCTGGTAGATTTTGAAGGCATCCTTTTTGGTTTGTGCCGTGGATTCCCCTTGTAGCCCCTAAAATGGAAAATTTCATGGCATATTATAGAAATTGTGGAATGGTATACTTTCTACAGCATGCTTTCCGCTTTCCTGCAGATACCGTAGCGTAAAGGCAAAGGCGTGCAACAATTCTAGTCCCTACTGAGCACGAAACCTGCAACCGCGCACTCAGGCCTCAACCCTAAACCCTAAATCAATAATAAAACCCTAAACCCAATCCATTGCTGCACTTGCGCCGCAGGATGCAGAGTATGTTTTACCGGGGACACGGACAGCCTGAGCGTGGAGGAGGGGCTAGTTGTTAGCGGATGCCAGCCGCAGTAGTAGTAAGAGGAGGTGGGGGTCATATTGGTGCTACGACCACGATTATACTGCTACTGCTACTGTTACTGCTTCCTTCGCCACTCCAGCTATAACCTCTACTAGGTCGACTCCTACCCCCACGGTTGATTTCATTATTGTTTTTTCCTACCATCATTGCTGCTACTATTGCTACTACTCATAAGTGCTAGCAATATTAGTATGATTTCTAGTGCTGCTACTGTTGCTGCGGCGGCTATTGATACCAACCCTTCTACCAGTACTGCATGAGTATTGCTGTTCCTTTTTAACTTTATTACTGCCGCCGCTATTCTTGCTGCTGCTGCTGCTG